ACCCTAAACCTAACCCTAAACCTAACCCTAAACCTAACCCTAAACCTAACCCTTACCTTAAGTTAAAGCGCCCTTCTGTCTCCACGCTGTTGTCTCCGTGCTGTTGTCGCCGCGCTGATGACGTCGCGGTTTTAGCGACGCGGTTTAGTCGGGCGCGGTTTTGTCGTTCGCCCTTTTTATCGGGTCACGCGTAACCATACTTGAATTGCTCTTTGTGTTTCCCCCTGGTAGGTTTCCTTGAGCAGGGATTACTCGTCAAAGACTTCAAGAAGCTGCGTGCGAAATATTTTGCCACTTTGCAGTTCAAGTTGGACATCCTATCCATTCTGCCTACTGACTTGGTCTATTTCGCCGTTGGCATCCATCGGCCTGAGTTACGCTTCAACCGGCTGCTGCATTTCCCTCGCATGTTTGAGTTCTTTGACCGGACCGAAACCAGAACCAGTTACCCGAACATCTTTAGGATCTGCAATTTGGTGATGTACATTTTAGTCATCATCCACTGGAATGCCTGCATTTACTATGCCATCTCCAAGGCCATTGGCTTTGGAGAAGACACCTGGGTTTATCCAAATATCTCAGATCCAGAATATGGATACCTGACCAGGGAGTATATCTATTGCCTCTACTGGTCCACATTGACCTTGACCACCATTGGTGAGACTCCTCCCCCTGTGCGCGATGAGGAATACCTCTTTGTCATCTTTGACTTCCTCATTGGAGTTCTCATCTTTGCTACTATTGTGGGGAATGTGGGCTCCATGATCTCCAACATGAATGCCAACAGGGCGGAATTCCAGGCCAAGATCGATGCCGTCAAGCACTATATGCACTTCCGTAAAGTAAGCCGAGAGATGGAAGCGAAGGTTATCCGGTGGTTTGACTATCTTTGGACCAACAAGAAAACCGTGGATGAGTGGGAGGTGCTCAAAAACCTTCCTGATAAACTGAGGGCTGAAATAGCCATCAACGTCCACCTGGAAACCCTGAAGAAAGTGCGGATATTCCAGGACTGTGAAGCTGGGCTCCTGGTGGAATTGGTGCTCAAGCTTCGCCCTCAGGTTTTCAGCCCGGGCGATTATATTTGCCGGAAAGGAGATATTGGTAAAGAAATGTACATCATTAAGGAAGGGAAGTTGGCGGTGGTGGCAGACGACGGTATTACGCAATTCGCCTTGCTGACGGCCGGCTGCTGCTTTGGAGAAATCAGCATCCTCAACATTAAAGGAAGCAAAATGGGGAACAGGCGGACGGCGAATATCCGGAGCATCGGCTACTCCGACCTCTTCTGCCTCTCCAAAGAAGACCTCATGGAAGCGGTGACTGAGTATCCGGATGCCAAAAGAGTCCTGGAAGAACGTGGCCGAGAGATCCTCACCAAAGAGGGCCTGTTGGATGAAGCCGCCGCGGCGGAAAGCATAGAAACGATGGATGTGGGCCAGAAGCTGGACAGGTTGGAGACCAGCCTGGAGACGCTGAACACTCGCTTCTCTCGCCTCTTGGCGGAATACGATGCCGCTCAGATGAAGCTCAAGCAACGCCTCACTTCTCTGGAAGCCAAACTGAAGGAAGACAAGGAGGAGGAGCTGTTTCTGGAGGGCATTATCAGCCCACTGGCGGGGGAAGAGGAAAAAACCAGCCCTTGAAGTCTTGCTTCCTAGAATTTCCTGTTTATTTACTTTATTTACTTTGCTTGCATGTTACTTATTCCTTCCCCCTGCCCCCCCCAGATCTAATTCTCATCAGATTATCTGACCACAAGATCTGTTTCCAAACTCTTGACACAGCTCTCTCCTTCCCTTACAGTAACCTTACAACTCTCCCAAGGCTTTTTTCCCCCTTCTTTCACTGGTTAACAGATAACGGAGTCTCCCTTTTTCTTAACTCCCTCCCTCCCTTCCTTTTCCTAGCCCCCTTCCAGATGGGACAGTGCAGAATATTAGATGTTCGTTCTGAACAAAAAAAAAAGTTATGGAATTGAAAGCAGCTCCTATTCCTGACCTCTCTTCTGGTGGCAATAATCCTTTTTGAAATATCATTTCACAGTTGGCGACTAACAGCCGGTTAAAAATATATATGTCCCAAGTCTTCCTATTGTGGAGGCCATTTCCCATGGAATTCCATTGCCTCTATTATTCCACACGCAGAAGGAAGGAAAGCGTGTGCACATGCTTCATGTGTGTGTGTAGCGTGGGTATTGTGTCCCAGGACATGGAATCATCTCTCTAAGTGAGGGCTGCCTAGTTCAAGATTGCAGAGGGAGAAATGTGCCTAAATCCCCTTGTACTCTTCAGCTCAGTTTTTTGCTGCCTGGATCTTTTTTATTCTATTAATTCTGAACCGTGAGATTTCCTGCTGTGTATTCTCTTTGTTTTTTTGAAGATAACTGAAATTTCTTCGGAGGCCACACTGAGTGCCAAAAATTGCAGCACATCCTAGCAGGATTAGATGTTTAGGGATTATCTTCACATATCTCAGGCACTCAGGAAAGGTCAGATCCAGAATCTTTTCTGGCCCATCCATCCATTCTCCTACTTAGATCCAGTTCGAAGAGGACCTGAAATTAATTGGGAATAGCTGTTCAGAGAGCATAGCTATTGGTGGGTGGAGGCCTACGGCTGCCCACCAGATCCCCATGATTATATAAGCCCAGTCCTCTTTTAAACCAGGGATCTTTCAAACCTCGTGGATGGGGGAAATTATTGTGCTTTGCAGGAATTGTGAATTGGGTCCGTGTAATGAAGTTGTCTGGAAAGGCTTTTGCACGATGCTTCCTTACCGGATCGGATTCGGTCCTGGGCCCTAACAATAATAGAAAAACCAGCACTTTTCCTCAGGAGGAGAAGCAGCTGTGTTGCACCCTCATGGTGACACTTGCTTGGCCTCCTTGAGATGATGTGGAAGTGAGAGGCTCTCCGGCTTCAGAAGCTGGGAACGAAGAAGAAATTCTCCTGTGCAGCTTTGTAAAGAGCCTTTGGAGCCCTCCCACCAGATCTAACTAGGACTGGAAGCAGATTAGGCCAGTTGGATAGTCATCTGGTTCCTGAGATAGATGCCTAGGTGAAAGCAGTTTGCCCAAAGTCACTTTACATATTGCACTACTTTTAGTCTATTTTAAGAGGCGTCGGCCTCGATGCAAACAGAGTTACAGGGTCCCATGTCATCCTTTAAAATAAAATAAATAAAGTACTCGTCTCAACGATACGCCTGGCTGATTTCTTTTCTTGCAGCCTTTCCTTTTCTTGCATTTTCTTGTGTTGAAAGAAATGTCCTTCTGGGTTCGGCTCCAAGTGGGGAAGAAGACACCGGAGACATGGAGGCTGCTTGGAAAGATGGTTTATTCGTAGACAGGACAACATGGCTTGAGCCCTGTACAGAAAAGGGGATCACAGGCTTCAATGTTGGTGGAGAAGAAGAAGAAAAGGGCCGAGGGAGGGGCTTGCTAGGCTTTTTATACCCTGTTTAGTCCCACCTCTCTGTTTCCTGTTCCTGTGTAAGAAATGCATCCTGATTGGTTGTCAGACTCCCGTGGTGCCATGCAGGGGGCT